CGCACACACACACACACACACGCACGCACACACGCGCGCACCCACAGGCACGCACGCACAGGCACGCACGCACACACGTACACGCACGCACACACGCACGCACACACGCACACGCACGCACACACGCGCACACGCACAGGCACGCACGCACACACGCACACGCACGCACGCACGCGCGCACGCACACACAGACACACACCCACACAGGCACGCACGCACACACACAGGCACGCACGCACACACACACACGCACACACACACACACACACACACACACACACACGCGCGCACGCACACGCACACACACACACACACACGCACGCACACACGCGCGCACCCACAGGCACGCACGCACAGGCACGCACGCACACACGCACACGCACGCACACACGCACGCACACACGCACACGCACGCACACACGCGCACACGCACAGGCACGCACGCACACACGCACACGCACGCACACGCGCGCACGCACAGGCACGCACGCACACACACACAGGCACGCACGCACACACACACACACACACACACACGCACACACACACGCGCGCACGCACAGGCACGCACGCACACGCACGCACGCACACACGCACACGCACGCACACACGCGCGCACGCACAGGCACGCACGCACACGCACGCACGCACACACGCACACGCACGCACACACGCGCGCACGCACAGGCACGCACGCACACGCACGCACGCACACACGCACACGCACGCACACACGCGCGCACGCACAGGCACGCACGCACACACACACACACACACACACGCACGCACGCACACACACAGGCACACACACACACACACAGGCACGCATGCACAGGCACGCACGCACACACGCACACGCACGCACAGGCACGCACGCACACACACACGCGCGCACGCACAGGCACGCACGCACACACACACGCGCGCACGCACACGCACGCACGCACACGCACGCACGCACACACGCACACGCACGCACACACGCGCGCACGCACACGCACGCACGCACACGCACGCACGCACACACGCACACGCACGCACACACGCGCGCACGCACACGCACGCACGCACACGCACGCACGCACACACGCACACGCACGCACACACGCGCGCACGCACACGCACGCACGCACACGCACGCACGCACACACGCACACGCACGCACACACACACACACAGGCACGCACACACAGGCACACACACACACACGCACACGCACGCACACACGTGCGCACGCACAGGCACGCACGCACACACGTGCGCACGCACAGGCACGCACGCACACACACAGGCACGCACCCCCCCACACACACACACACACACACAGGCACGCACGCACAGGCACGCACGCACACACGTACACGCACGCACACACGCACGCACACACGCACACGCACGCACACACGCGCGCACGCACAGGCACGCACGCACACACACACACACACACACACACACAGGCACGCACACACAGGCACGCACGCACACACGCACACGCACGCACCCACGCGTGCACGCACACACAGACACACACACACAGACACACAGACACACACACACACACACACACACACACACGCGCGCGCACACACACACACACACACACACGCACCCACCAGTATTTTTCAACAATATATATTTCTACATTTATATATGGAAAGTATCCATTAAGACAAGTGATGCTGGTGGCTACGAAGTCTGCTGGCTAAGCACCCAGAATGCCAAAGCCTTCTTCTTTGTAGTGCAGAGATGACACTGAAAACCAGGGGGACCCCAGGGGTGCTATGATCCTCACTTCCAAGGAAGAAGGAATACATACACAAACATTCTAACTCTCAAAAAACAGGAAATTTCAGAAACACAAAGAACATTTTTCAGTAATCTTAGACAGCTCCCTCAACCCCAGGCCAAGAACTGTCTATCGAAGAGCAACTTCTCCCCGAATTTTGTGATCCGTGCCACCACAACTTCAGGCACTGTTCTGACAGCTTAGTGTTCACCTTTTAGTGGAAAAACATTTAATACAAATTTTCTGAAGGGTGAGGAAGAAGAGTAAAGATTGGTAAAAAATAGAAAGACAGACAGACAGACATTTGGATATTTGGTTTATTATTATTTTCATGCACGTCTTTCATTGTAGTTTTAGGAATATAGTGTCCTGGAGCTAGAGACATGGCTCAGTGGTTAGAAGCATGTGCCACTCTTAGAGAGGACCAAGACTCTTCACCACCACTTAGATATCTGTAAACGCACACACATCCTCCCCACCCAAACAACATACACACATAGTTAAAAATAAAAGTGAAGACGGTAATATAATTGGCCAAAAAGATTGAGACTTGTATTCCTAGTAAGAGCTACTTGATATGACGGGAGAAAAAAGGAATGCATTTGTACAATAGCAGTGAAATCTGAAATTCATCCTTTTCACTGCATATTATCATAAGCAGGATTAAAGCCTCTGGTTGTTTTAGTGAACAGTCTCCATTTGGCCACAATAATGAAACAAATTAATGAAAGTAAAGCAATGAAAACCTCCTTAAAAATAGTGCTGAGCTATTTGGAATGTAGGAACTGGGCTATGAAAGCTTTTTGGTGGATAATAAAACAACCACTCTTCTAAGGCAAAAGTCAAGTACCCAATTTCTATTCACTAACTCTGAATGAGTTCCTATACAGTATGTCACTCTGTTAAAAATAGAAAACAGTTAAACTTTGAAACTGGTCAGCCAGGTGCACAAGGAAACAGCACACCAGCTTCATGTCAAACAAAGACTGTCCTAATGGCACAACAGGAGGCCATATGAGGAGTAACACATGCTCGACTGGCCACGTAAAATGGAGTATCATCATTCCAAAGCTTGGTAAATTTGCACAATAGAAGAACTCGGAATATTCTCCAACATCAAGAGATGAAACTCACCCTGTACTACTGAAAAATACAAACACACACATACACACAAAGAAAGACAGAAACACATGAACATATTTCAGAATACAAATAAGAATTAATTCTAAGAGGAAAGAAAGGCTTTTTAGTCAACTGAAGCAAGCACATCTCTCAAGGTAAAGCCATACACTTTCCTCAGTATTTAGCAGAGATGGCCAGTCAGGAAAGGCGAAGGAAAGCAGAGAGGACAGAAGGGCGAAGGAAAGCAGAGAGGACAGAAGGCAAGGGCAGGAAGAGGAAAAGCAGTGAGATTATGCACACAGAAAAAATAAATCCATATAAGAAAAACATGTGAACTACATATTTTGCCAATAATATTAGTATAATAGTTGAATATATTATTAAAACTAGGAAGAAAATTAATTGGTTCTTTTGCTCTTTTTCTTGGCTAGACCTCTACTTTAGTTTCTGTCCATGTAAAATTAATTAATAGGACTTGCAGAACTCTAAAATAATGATGAACATCCAGAATTCCACACATAATTTTGTAATGTTATTTCACTTATTTTGCCCTGTGTCATATGCTATGTCATTGCCTCTCAGCCTAATTCATTCACTTTATGAGAGACACTTTAATAGCACATTCATTTGCCATGTTTGTGGCTATACCTTCTTGCATGTATACTGCACAGTGCTGATACGGTTTTCATTGTGGCACCCTAAAGCAATGTTCTGAGTCTTAACTTCTAGAACTTAGAAATGGGGTCAGTGCAGGTGACCAAGTTAAGAAAAGTCATTAGGGTGGCCCAGTATCCAGTACAAAGGGAAAACCTGGACAAAGGGGGCAGATGTAAGAGAAGAATGGCCTCAAAGACATGAAGAAAAGAGAGCACATCTACAAGCCAAAGAATGTCTCAAACGGCAACAAGGCAAGAGAGGGGTATGGGGCCGGGCGTCTCTCAGCACCTTCAGAAGGAACCAAACCAGTCAACACGTGACTCTTACTGTTACAACAGAGTACTCTAACTGTGCTATTAGTGTAAAGAAAAGAAACTCAGTTTCTTACAGTTCTTGAGTTCTGGGAGTCTAATGTGAAAATATTCTTGCTTCATTAACCCACGATGGGAAGCAAAGGTGAGAGAGGGCATGAGAAAACCCAAGGCTGAGCTCAGAGCCCAAAGCACTCTGTAATTGCTATGGAGTCCTGAGGGCTTCACTGGCACGCATAACTGAAATACTATGTCTCTTTAGGTTTCCCAACACAAGTCACATAGTGTTGTTTCCAAGGCGTTCTTTTGGGGGGACACACACAAGCCACAGCAGACCCCTAACTTCTGGAACTATGAGGTACTAGTTCTGGTTATTTAAGCTACTCGATTTCTGGCATCTCTGCCCCCACAGTTTTGGGAAATAAATGCATATGTTGCAGATGGGGCTGGTAAAAGCCTGAAGTGTGGCTGGAAACCAGGAAGCCTCAGGGCAGCCCGGAAGCCCTGATGTAGGACTCCATGCTTCAGGAAAAGGCAGAGAATCCTGCAGCTCAAGCAGGATTGGGAAGTATCCTCATCTGGAGCATGGAAAAGAGTGTCCTGAATGTCCCCAAAGCAAGCTCTGCAGGCTGACTTTCCTTACTCCTTGCAACTCCATGGTGATGAAAGGGAGGCTTATCATCTCCCATCAGTAACAGAACCTGAAAGTTGACTCTTTGGGTGTTTGGCAACCCCCCACCCTTTCTCTCTCACACACTGGTGTTCCAAAAACCACACTGACAAATATACAATTTTATGACATGCTAAATATTGGTGCAAAGGAAGTCTTATTGCTTCTGTCCAACTATGTATAAGAGAGAGGCCTAGACACTCCTTTGTCTTCATCAAGACCAAACTGATTTCCATAAGCACCCTGAAAGTCAGGATCTCAAAAACGTTAAGGAATATAAACACATATGTACACAGTATGACCATAAGTTCGCACACTCATTCAAATCCTAAAGGATGTGTATGTGTTTTGGAACAACTTGGGGCTAATGTTTAATCACAGTCCTATGATTAGTACCCACCCGTGCTATCTTTTTTTCCCTGTGAATGATTTTCAGTAGTGTTTGTCTTCTCACCTATTTTATCTTCTTCAGATCCAGCAAGTTATTCCAGCAAGTTTCAGAGGGCAGGAGTATTCCCTCCATAAATATGTGGGAAAGCAAGTTTTAATGTCAAAGCTTTCCTACAAAACAATAAAAATACCCATAAATATTTGAACTTGAAACAATGGTGGCACTTTAAAGGCTGTGCCTCTTTAAGCGACTCCAAGAAAAAGGCAAAAATAAAATCACACAGACCATGTAGGCTCAGGCACTCAAAGAGCAAGGTAAGAGGGAATAAGTCAGGAGAAACTAGAAAAGAAAAAACAACAACAAAACAGAACAAAAAATAAAACTTAAGAAGAAATGAAAACACCATGATAGGAAGAAGATTCACCATGATGAATAAGATTGCTGCTAGGGAGAAGGGAATAAACCATGAGTGCCTAAGTAGATGCTAGAGAAAGGGCTTCCCTTAACAATAATGCTAAGTAGATGCTAGAGAAAGGGCTCCCCTTAACAATAACAGAGAAGAGGAAGGCGGGCAGGTGGAGGTCCTTCTGTTGGTCTGGTAAGACTCATCACTCACAGGGGGACACTTGCTTGTCACTGTCATTTCTTGAGCAGGGTGTAATGTGATGAAGGGGCTCTCCTGCTAGTCTGTGCCAACACCAGGTGAGCGGCAGGGCGGTGTGAGACTAGTGCTGGTGTGGAATGTGACTGACACACGGTTCAGGGTCAAAGGAAAGAGGGTTCAAGATGACTTTTACCATCTTTTCTTGTCTTACTTTCATGGTACTGGACACCCTGGATTTTCATTCTTTGGCAGGTGTAGTGGTGACTGAGGTGCTGGACTGCAGTCAGAGTTCTTGTTCCTGCTTTAAGATCTTGTGATTGTCCCTTTTGTTTTGTGTGTCTCTTCAAGGTTGGCTCACCTGGTTCTCTGAGGCCTATTTACTCGGCAACGTCTCTCCTGATGTTACTACTCAAGAGGATCCACCCTCATTCTCTGTCTTACCTGTATTAGTTTTGTGACTTGTTACTTCCCTCAAATTACATTTTTAGTAACTACCTGTCACTACTACTGATATGCAAGTTCCTGAGTACAGAGGTCGCTGATACCGTGATCACAGTTTACTCACAGAAACTAGCACACAATCTAAGTTTGTTGAATAGATAAGAAAAAGTCTCATCCTCACAATCAATGGAAGACAACCCTACAATATTTTCTATCTTTACCACCTGTTTTCTAGTACACATCACAACTCTCTCTCTCTCTCTCTCTCTCTCTCTCTCTCTCTCTCTCTC